ACCGTCTAGGAGGAGAAGCGGTAACGGTAACATGGCCACGGAGCCGGCGGAGCCGCAGGAGCCGGCGGAACGGACCGGACGGGACTAAAACCATGTGTACCACCAGCGCTAACGCTGGTGGTACAATAAATTAAATACATTAACAGTTTCATGTAATATTATTATAACTGAGGCATCTGAACAATGATTTTCCCAATCATGGATATAACTTCATTTCAATGTCTAAAATGAAATTTGGCCGTGAAATCACCACTCTGATGACACAGGCTTAAAAGTTTTTTCAAACTCATATAGGCCTCTGTAGCCCTTTACTCATCTGTTTATTAAATTTTAAGTTTGTAGTTTAATCAAAAAATATTTTGTGGACACTGCAGGAAACTATTTTTCACGTCTCTGAAACTGATAAGTTTCCTCTTACCGTAAATGCAATTGCTTAGCAAGGACGGTGTCCGCCTCTCCGTGGCAACAGTTTACAACTGTGGCACCCGCTTTTGATAATGTTTGCAGAATCTGCACATCCACCAGGGTCGGGGGTACAAAGTGATCCTCCAGGTCTTGCAGGTGCTTTTCGCCTCTGCAGACATCAGATATATCTTGAAGATACTGGATAGATTTTACAGATCTCGACCTCCATGTCGAGAATTTATACCTGGAAGTGTTGCGCCCAGTGCCCCTGCAGCCATCAACGAAAAACACTAGGTTAATTCCCTTTACTTTGAGAATTTTTATCAAGTCTACGAAGTACTGGTCGTAGACCGCATATTCGCCTCCTAAAATCCCAATAAATTGGTTTGATTGCTGCAGTGCAAGAACCTTGTGAATTGCTCCTACAACAAAAGCTCGGAAAGCGAGGTAATCCACAAGGATTTCAATTCCTTTTTTTTCACGGGCTATCTCAACCAAGTCCAAATAGTGTGTAGTTTCAGAATGACCAAGGCAGTATGCTAATAGTCCGTGGACGCCCATATTTCGAATGGATACCACACGCGTGTTTTCAAAGGATTGCAGACAATCACGTGACAACTGACTTACACCGGTTACATCAGCCCAGAGCTGGTTTAGTGAACATTATTTCCTTTACTACTAGTTCAAGCCTCGTTTCCAAGGAGGCTTCTATCTACACTCACAGAAAGGGGCTGGAAACCGAGGCAACAGAAATCGGATTAAATGATGTTCATACAATTCTGGTCAAGTTATATTCTGTTAAAACTGTCAGAACAAAATATTACATGGTGAAATTGCATTGCTTACCGGAGTACATCATGGAATGTCTGGGCTATATATTGATTTCACGTAGTATTCTGTAATTTTACTAGCTAACACCTAAATGGCACCACACAAAACGGACTTAAACATGAGTTTTAGACGTTGGAGATGTTGGCCAGGAAAGTAAGTTGATAAAAAAAAAGTACTTTAAGTTTTCCATCAGCATACGACAGTTCCTCCCTCAAAAGTAAAGTCCGGCAATTGGTATTCAATTTCAAACATCCACAAGTGATGCCAGGATATAATGCCTAGGAGAAAACCTGGCGGTACTTCAGGTGCATTATCAAGTCATAGAACGGAATTGCAGCAACATTGTATATATCCAAATGCGTGAGTTCAAGATTTCTAGTTTAGAGCTCGGGATTTATGTTCCCTAATCGGATACTCCTGATGAGATCACGGGTGTTGAAATGGTATCTGGTCTTTTTCTGTTTTTTAGAGTTAGGTTATATCAAAAAGAACATTGTTGCAATATACCCTTTTCAAAAGTTTTCAAAAAATTAATTGTGAAACTTGGGCAAATAATACAATAATAAAATGAATAATAATAATTATTCTGATTGGACAGTCATCTTATTGTTGTGCATTCTGATTGACCAAAAACATAGATCACATCATAGGCTAATATTGTTTGGTGCCAGAAATACGTAGATACCGCATTTTATCAGACTCTGAATTTCTGTATTCCATGCTTATATATATATATATATATATATATATATATATATATATATATATATATATATAATATCATACATTACAAAATTATTAAATCATACAGAACAGAAAATATAAAAGAAAACAATATGAACTGTGAAGTTGTAGTACCTGAATTTATTCATTTTGTAGCGAAATAATGAAACAATTGTTTCTGTTATTATTAATGACTGGGGTAAATTATTGGCACAGAATACTACAATAAAACAGATTTTAATCATATGCCACCTCTCCATGAAAACCAATTTCAATTTAATTATATCTATTCATTCAAGGAAGTANGCTACATAGTCCGGTCTGAATGTGAGTATCAGCCTTTCATAATCACCCAATATTTATTTCTTTCCAAACATTTTGTCATCCATTCATTCTTTTATTTTAGATAGCTCTACCAAAAACTTCTTTAATTCTTAAATTGTTAGTGAACTTTTTGTTGAAAATATATCAAACTCAGAGTAAATTATTTGAATATCTTCAAGCACCTGGTATCAAATAGTTTACAAAATCTACCAAATAACTGTGATACATTCTAACTGCTATTTCACTTGAAAAATTACCATGATGAACAGTGGGATAAAAAGAACTGATGACCATGTATATACAACCTGAATCAATTCACATGTACATCTATGTAGTTCCGATAACATCATTCTCAAGTTGATATCCACGTATAAACCACGTTCAAGCAGCACCATTTGTAACTACAACCCTACAGACTAATGACAGCCAGTGCTTCATGTAAAAACTAGGACAAGGAGGCCTGACAGCATATCTGGATTATATTTGAGTCACCTTTATCTAACTTGGTCTGGCTCACATTATAAGAAAAAAATGTTCTACTAGCACCCCCTTTAGCTTAACTTTATCTTCCAAACTAGTAAATTCAGAAAATGAAATCAAATAAAAAGTCTAAACGAGCAACTGGAACCCAATACTGGTTTCCCCTCAATTCAGCTTAATATTCAATGCTTTATAAATTATGTGCTAGCTTGCTCAAATAGTTAAAAGATAATCAGATTCATTACATTTGAGAACAGTTTGAACACAGACTAACTACCTCAGTCACAGTTACTTGTACAAATTTAAATATTCTTGAGCTTCTTCCTCACATATACACCATACTATTATGCACCAGTAGTAATATCTAAAGTAAATATAACATCATTTGAATTTATGGGTTAAAATGAGCATTTCCTTAACAGATCCACAAATATCATATAAAGATACTACTCATATAAATATACTAGTTTTCTTTTTCCACTGAAAAATGGTTTACATGCTTTAAAAGCAGATCATTTTAAATGATAAATTAAAATTAAATAAGAAGGCTAACTTATTTCTTTTAACATTAAACTTTTTAACATTTTAATGTTGGAAAGGCAAATCCATTAAAATGTTGATTACTCTCTGGTTCCTAATTGCCATACATGTACGGGCATTCATTTGGACAAAAAATTCCACACTGTCTGGCCTTATTCAAGACTGTACGCTTATTAAAAATCTAAGTTTCCCCAGACCTATTCGTACACCACATACGTATATTGACCCATTTTAACACTCAAGCGAGATCCATCATGGCAGCACCCTGTGTTTACTCTGGATTGTGACCAGTGAGATTGTGACAGCAGTGCATTTCAGGACATATACGCAATCACATCCAGTCACACTGTACTACTATTCCAAATCGTATAGCAATAAGGAACCAGAGAGTAGCCCCATTTTTTTTCCTGATCTGTGGTCCACATCTACCTCAACTGAATTCTTCTAAATTCAACTGAAGCCTTTATGCTTACTATAATATTTCCCTCTCCTTTTGACCACCTACTTCATTTTTGTACCATGCTTTTAACAAAATGTTATCAGCTCAAACACTGCCCATTTTCTTTTGAACTCTCAATACTGTCCTTAACAGCCGTGTAATTTAAAACATTTATCATCAGCTTAGGCTGATGGCATAAATATTCTGTAGAATGTATTTCACAAACTCTACATAATTTTGACTATCACTTTTCTTATTTCTTTTCAAATCAAATTTTGCAATAGCATCTTCAGGCCCGTAGCCAGCAATTTCAAAAAGGGGGTTCTTTTTCTGAAAAAGTGGTCCTTTTCCCATAAACACATATAATACCTAGTTCAATTTTTACCCAGAGTGGACCTTTTCCCAGCATAAGGGGCGGTTCTTTCTAACCCCCCGAACCCCCCCTGGCTACGGGCCTGATCTTTAACAACAGATTTACACAGTGACATTTCGACAGCTGCAATGATGGTAAACCTCCCATTATCTCAAACTGGCTCAGTGGAGTGCAAACATAAACTGGTACAACAGCTCACACCCACCTGAAGGTGAACACAATGGGTGCATAACAGAGCTTAATATGCGGGGATGGCGATCTTTAAACTAACCTACCTGTACCTATCAACTATCATTTAGAAAAACCCAATACTATGTTCCACATAAATTCCCTGGGTTGCTATTTAAGCATTGGTGATGAATAGTCTACACATTTCAGGCTGTGAATTCCCTTCCTAAATATTAGGTGTTTTAACTGAAACAATAACATGAAAGAACCAACAGATATACAATTTTGGGAAATGAACGTAAATGTTGGCAACCCAGCACTTGTAGCATGAAACATGATTAATATATTATTTTTGATCCCCTCAAAGATCACTCCCTGCTGTTATTTCTCTACATAGATTTGATGACTTTGATAAATTGATATGACCAGATGTCTTGGTTGTAACAGCAGGTTAAAGGTTGATGCCTTCTTCAAAGACCATGCTGAGAAAGAGTATCTTGTTCTATGACTAGGAATTGGTTATTTTGAGCCCCATTCAAACCAGCTTCAAATAACTATTGTTGTGACTCTTAAACACATCATTTAATCACCAGGAACTCAATTGTCTGAGGCACAGCAATCTCTCCATTTCAACCCATTCTCTGCACAGGGAGAGGCTAATACACATCCCATATCTGTAAAATAGATTCCATTGTGTGACACATAGCAAATCACTTCAAACCAGTCTTATAAAAGGTTTTGACTGCAATACTAACACTATATTAGCTGAGGTACTGTGTGTATTGCTAATGTCTATTTTGCTCCGCTGTTCTGTGCTGTATGCTTTGTTCTAAGGCCATAGGTGTCAACCATTCCTTTGGTATTGCTTTTTCTATGAATGGAATACAGGAGCTCACATAGGCTAGTCTGTTTACCCAGCTAGGGATGTCTTTACCACACAGAATCTAAAAAAAAGAGAAATATTGTTAATGAAAAATATATAATTGGTCACTCTTCAATATTCTTAAGATGCAGAAAATGTCAAAAGATCACTTTTACATAGCTAATTAGTTCAACAATGAGACTTTTAACATGCTTAAGAATTAAATTTTGAGAAAACCAGTTGACACTGCCCTGTGGCATTCATGCATAGCTCCTATTTGCTGCTGAAAATTTCTGATATTAGGTAAGGTAGTAGAAAACATCAAGAGATGGCAAGTAGCACTTTCACCCTAAAATCACTGAACAGATATGATATCATCAGCCAAATGACCATGCTTTTTCTGAATACCAATAATGTCCATGGACATTATATGAAAATATTATCAGTTTAATACATGATAGTAGTTTTTAACCTGATCTTGGCCAACAGGATATATTACCTTAACAACATAATCACCACCAATTTTAATCATACTACTAGACTGTTACTATGGATATACATAATCTCTAACAAGCAGAAGCTTTCAGACCCAAAAGTCCCAGCATGAAAACAATGTTTGTGAAAAATTCACAAATACTGCCAAACAAGAGACTAAAGAACTAAATGGTATACAAATAACTTTCTGAGTGAGAAGTAATGATGTTTTAAGCAGTGGACTTCCAAATGCTTACCTGTACAAGAGCTGATGAAAAATGATTGCAATTTTTGTTTAGGAGGTGATACTGGTCACCCTTATATTCGTTACCAAGCTGTTCAACAATTTTCTGAATATCTTCTTGTGTGAAATCTGTAGAGCCAAGCCGGATTGTTTCTCTAGAAACAAAATAAAAAAATCAAGTGAAAAGTGAGGTTTTTCATATATGAATAATAAATGAAATGATTGTTACAGAACTGTTCAATCCACTTCATAATCTATATCTAGCTGTCATAGCATCTGTATACACCTGCAGTAATATTTAACAGTGGTAAGACAAATATGCTAAGAAATGATGGGTTTATATATATATATATATATATATATATATATATATATATATATATGTGTGTGCCTGTGCATATTGGGAAAGGATAGAAGCACATGGCAAAATCCATATTTTGTTTTAAAAGGGATTAAAGTGAAGTGTTGGAAGTGAAATTGGAAGATTTCCTTGGTGAACCACTAGTGCATCATCGCCATGCATACATCCATCCATACATATCCATTGGTGCAATACCAATAGCCTGCTGGACTGAATGTCCATGCCACAGCAGTACAGCATGTAAGACTAATCAATAAACAAATTAGCCAACAGTGTCTCCATACTGGCGTCCACCATTAGGTGCAAAAACCATAAAATCAAGTAACATGTTCAAATTGGATTTGGTCAATCAACAGACTAAATGTCATTATCATGATTATATAAATACTGACAGTCAATGAAAATTCATCATTTATTTGCCAAATAATATTTTAAGTTCCTTTGGCACATTAAGAAAATAACAGTTTTCGTGTGAAATATGACCCATTAATTTATTCAGTCACACAAGGTGAAATAAAAGTCAGAAAAGATCATTAAAAAAAAGATCATTAAAATGCAAGGTCATGTGATCAAATCTCTTTGGTTCTGCCCAGCCTCTAGCATCCTCAGGGCCCGCAGTCGCTCTTCCAGTGTCAGACGTGGCATCACAAAAGTTTTTTGTCATGTGTCATACTAGATTTGGTGACTACCTTAAATTTTCGTGTGAAATATGACCCATTAATTTATTCAGTCACACAAGGTGAAATAAAAGTCAGAAAAGATCATTAAAAAAAAGATCATTAAAATGCAAGGTCATGTGATCAAATCTCTTTGGTTCTGCCCAGCCTCTAGCATCCTCAGGGCCCGCAGTCGCTCTTCCAGTGTCAGACGTGGCATCACAAAAGTTTTTTGTCATGTGTCATACTAGATTTGGTGACTACCTTAAATAGGGTTAATTAATCACCATATATTGGACTTGATTAATTCACACCAATCAGGAAAAACACATTTTGTAACAGCTGATCACAAAATCAGCTGATCACAATATCACTGAAGCGGAAATTTTAAACATCCGAGTGGTCAGCCCACTCTTTTATGACCAAACAAATGCATTTGTACTCGTTTATATGGTTGGAATGGATTCTCAGTAAAAGGACAAGAGTACAAAAGTACAAGAAAGTTTTCTGATGCGTTTTCATTGACTGTCAGTATATATTCTCTTTGGTTCTATGCTGCAAACATGTTAAATAAAGCTGTATGGTTGGTAGACGTACAAGCCTCTAAAATTTGGGATGCAAGATCAATGCAAGTGAGAAGAGGTATGCTCTAAGGTATCCACATGCATTTCACAATAAACTAGTATCCATTAATGTTAGTACACCATGACCGGGTTAACGTGAAAGTAAGTACACTGATAGCACCCTTTTGTCTGGTAATCAAATCCTGCAATGCGGCCATCATTTCAGAAAGCAGTATTGAACTAATCAAACTGGTGGAAATATATTTTTTTCTGGTGTCATTACACAAAGCTGACTGGCTGAGAGAGCAACATTGCCAAATGCAGACCTGAGAAGGCAATAAGTTACCCCAAGGCACAGCCCACAGACAACAAGATAGTCTTCAAGGGGCTGCACTTGGTCATATTGCCCATTGAGTCATCATGTTTTGAAGCATATCAAATAATCTCTTAACAAACCAAACACAAACCAAACAAAGCCTAAATCTAATACCCAAAATTTCTCATCTCCTGCACATACCAATATTTGAATGAAACAACCTAAAACCTATATGGTTGCTGCTTCTTGAGGAAATTATTTCACAAAATATATATTCTGTAACTTCTATATACTAGAATTATAAGTGTTTTATTGTTAATGCCTTTTGCACACAGAACTCCATCCTATTCTGCTTTAGTGGTATTCTGTGTCAGTTAGCATCAGTGCACATGGCTAGTCTATATAACAAAATAAATATCATAAGACACAATTTAGCTAATCAGAGCACACAAATTTATAATGGGGTACAACAAAGTCTGATTTCCTGACAATATTCCCAAGAACTTTCTGTTGACAAGATTTCCATCTTCATTAATCCATGATTAAAAATTTATGTCAGACTCTATGGATGTCTATGGATATCCAATAAAAAAATGCAATATACTAGTAATGAAACACATTACAGACGCTACATGTAGATCCAATATCCTACTCTGAAGCTCTTAGGGTTATTGCGGGTTAAGGATTATAGTGATAAGACTGATAAGTAGGAATGAATATTATACAGAACACGAGAAGCGTAATACATCTGAGTTGATGAACTCAAGGAAAGATCAATGAAGCATGGTATCATATGAAGGTGAATTATCATGTAAAGAGACAAAATGCTATCAAAGGGAGAAAAACAACAGGATCTGGTTGACGTCTTAAATTATATCATATTTTGTGTTGAGGCAAGATAGAAAATCAAAGTAGTCTTCAGGTTTTGCATCAAAGAAACTGACCTGAACAATGTCATTTTAACAAACTGTTTCATCTACTTGTTTTATTACATTCAGTTTTACTTTTGGTAGAGTTACTTACTTAAACTTGAAATGCTCTCCTAGTTCTTCTGCATCCTTTGGGGTAATATCAAATATGCCACTAAATGGAAAGGGATGCCCACCATAAGCATACTCTAGAAAAGAATAAAACAACTGTGGTCACATTTTCATTTTATAATATAACTTCCAGACTTGCAAGAAAAAAATCATTTTCATATATAGTCACTCTTGCAAAATCAGTACTTTTACGTGATAAAAGATGTCCTTTTACATACATCACATTATTGTGCAAAGAAAAATGGTTTTGTAACGGATTTTCAATAATTTTGATAAATCAGAGCTTTCAAGTAAATTTATTCAACACAGTTTGGCAAAGAAAACCACATACTAGTTTATGAATTGTCATTTATGCTATGTCAATTAGAATGTTTAGTTGATTTGCTGCATCAAGTTAAAATATATATATATACCCAAATAAAATATAAGTATTCTTGTTAGACCATTAAAAAATGTTATCATGGCATTGTTTTTATGCTTCACTTGCTAATAGTAGTGAAATGGTTCAGAGTAAAAACAACATCTTAATTCAGATGTACCAGTTAAAAAAAAATTAAAAATATTAAAAATATTACAGAGTTTGCTAAAGTACTTTGCAAAGCAACATGCAAGTATATTTGGTTTCTAGTATAGTCATAGTTGTCTATGTAAAGAATCTGGTATTTGTTTCCAAACTTTTCTTTTTACTTTATTTATTTATAAATTTAATATAAATTTATATATGTATATATTTGGAAAAAACAACAGACTTTTAAGTGTGGCTTATCCCATAATTCATTTCGTAAGCAGAGTTGGTAACAAAACGTTAATATTCTCTATACTCAGTAACCTAAAGTAAATTTGCATCTCTACCTGTACCATACACCTCAATCCCAGAGTGGTAGACTCCTATACCAAGTGTAGAGGTATATTCATTAATCCAGTACTGAAATAAAAAGACAGTTATTACTTCTGGGTACGAATATGGTTCGATCAGGTTCATGGGCATTGATTTATTCATATATATATGTATGTTTGTCTGTTTGCTAGTGGACAAGCTGTCTCAAATATTCAGGATAGAGCATTATTCCAGGGTAAACTAAAGCTTCGTTCACATGGAAAGTCTATTTTCTAAAAATCTATTTTCTATTCGCGGTAGCTTATGATCACGGTCTGTGCCCTGAATATCCCGCAGTGTAATTATTGGCAGCGCGAGCCAGTTACTTATACAAAGCTGTAATTAATTCTCGGCTGTGCTCGCAATCTATAAAATCTCATCCTCCGTTGCCGCATCGCTTGCCATCGGATCAGGACGGTTGCACTCGTATCTGTCATGTGTATAGCTTCTTCATCTTCTTCGTCTTGTTGTTGCACAAAATCGCCAAACACATTTTTCAAAGCAACCGCGACCATCATTAACTTTCTAACTTCCTACTGTGCATGCGTCAAGGTATCAGAATCTCCTCCGAGCACAGCCGAGAATTAATTACAGCTTTGGAAGTAACTGGCTCGCGCTGCCAGTAATTACGCCGCGGGACATTCAGGACACGGACCGTGATCACAAGATATACCGAGAATAGAAAATAGATTTTTAGAAAATAGACTTTCCATGTGAACGAAGCCTAAATTACAACTGGGTCCCCAATATTTGCAAAAGAATATATCTTGCTGCTCGTGTATGTGTAAAGGGTATATTTAGAAGTGCTCCTCCCACCTAATATGACCCTTTCCTCCAGTTACGCTCCCCTAGCTGATCATTTGCTTTTAACAATGTACAAAGCCATATGATGGGAATTTGCAAAGAGAGTTTGTTGAGAGTGGTTTAAACAGGCTTAAGCTTGGTCCAAGAAGTTTTAAGTAGCCTAATCAGGGAATTATATCGGATAATTCCCTGGCCTAATTAAGCTTGGACCATGAACCTTAGGCCTGGTTTTGAAACGCTCTCAGATTTTTCTGATATAGAGGTTTGTTTTGGATATCTGAAGCACTTGAAAGTTTGATACAAATGTTGTGCAATGTTCAGTGAAATGCTGAAAGCGTTTTAACAGGGCTTTATAGACTTTTTTTGACAGGCCATGGGTTTCTAATAAAATACCTACTAGTAAATAATAAACAATTAAAAAAAAGGGCATCTGAAATCAAACTGATGCTATTTTCATAATATTTCTAAACAATTAAATTATAATTTAGTTCCAAGTGTCAAGTGTTATTTTCATGTCTTGTTGTTGATTGCTCACGCATATAAAATACATAAATATATACTTACCATATCATAAATATTAATAACCACAGCTTCTCCACCCATTATTTATGTCAGACACCGGTTCAACACGCTGCTAAGAATTCTAAATAAATATGACAAAGCTGCCGCAGCGTCAATACAGTTCATTTGTTTTCCTTCCCAAATCTCTTCCGACTTCTAGATCTAGGTAACATTTGACATTTTCCGTGAGTTTAACAGTACTTGCAGAGCTCTACCAGACAATCGGCAGAGTTTTTACAACACTCTCCAACTTAAAATTCAATATCGAAATGACAGCTTTTTTGTGTGAAATATTTTCCCAGATTTGTAACAAACGTCACCATTATTCGAGATCTTGCCACTAATAGATGGCAGTAAAATCTACGTTTACCAAGACGGGACAAATGGACAACCAACAGTAACAACAACTTTCATGACGTAGTACCCGTGTTGATGATAATGGCTTCGACATGCAGGGCACTGCACATCCTCAAGCATTATAGATGTGCAGACACATGGTCATTTCGATCCACGAGCGTGATTGCTACAAAAAGAGTAAGATATAACCTTGAATTAGGGGATTTGGTTTGCGTTATGGGCAAAGCAAAATGGGCAAAGCAAAAATAAATGCAACGGAAGACTCACTGTAAATACTAAATGCACACCAAATTATTGCAATCTGGTAGACTAGTACATGTACATGTATCATCGCCGTTTTATCGAAGCATAAAATATCAGACAATAATTTGGCAGCCACGCTAACTTTTATGGGCACTTTTGAAATGAAGAACCCCAAGATTCGTCTTTCCTCCGTGCACATATATTATTTTAAGTGTACTTCGAACTTATTTTATTACACATATTATTTTAAGTGTTAGTGTACTTCTTAGTTTTTTCATGAAAAGACGAAATCTCAAGGCTTGCCTAGCAACCACTTAGACCAGGGTATCACCAAATACCAAAATACCACTCACAGTAATAGCAGTTCTTGATGATGGCATTCTTATAGCACAAAACTCGTGCCTTAGCACTTCTGTTGATGATTCTGATATGTACTGGACGTGCAAGTGCATGAATACAAAGTCATTTAAATGAAATGAATACCAGTTTATATACCCGCAATGGATGCCTGCAGTGGATGCTCAAATTTGGTAAACCTGATCAACCAAACCTAATCAACCAAATGATATTGTAATGATGAGAGTTAAAGAAAACTTGTCAGAACTGCCCAAAAAACAACTTTGGGATTCTAGCAATGCAAATGAATTGTTTGCCAAAAAGCATAGGTCCAAGTTTTCACATATCATTATGGCAGTTTAAAATTTATGTGCAAAGATAGTGTATTTGGTCTTTGCATGACATGATGCAGTCAAATTCCCCTTTTCGGTTCTACATAAAAAGGTGAACATGGAAAAAGCTTCATCTGCAATATTTAAATAAATTTGGATTCTTGCAGTGGTGATGATGTAATTACAGCAGTACTACTTTGCATTATACTGAAGTTGATACATAAAATGAACCCTATTGTTATCAGTTAAGGTGTATAGTATGATGACCTTCACATTATTTTCAGTGGAAAACATCATCAGTTCCGCCAAAGCATACAGCTCCCATTAAACAGAGCTACATTGAGGACAGGCCACAGTTTCCTGGTTCTAAAACAAGAAGCTGGAGTGAAAAGCTCGAATTTACACAACCTGACATCTATGATGGGATTCCAGTGTATAGGGTGATGAACAGAGAGGGCAAGATTCTCGACCAGAGCCAAGATCCACAGGTGAATTAAAAAGAAAAAAGACCATGATTATGGTTCACACCAATATGATTTTTTGTTTTAAAAGTGTGCATTTTGTATAAAATATAATAGGATTATAATGGTGTTGACATTTTGTGGACAGTCACAATGTGTCTGGACATATAACCCTCACCTGCATCTGTTTTTGCTGTAGGTATCCTGTTGGTGGTGCTGTTGGTGTCACCTTGCANACCCCATTCCCATAGATTTTAGATCGATCTATCCCTGTTGGGAGTCTCACCGGATTACTGTCAGCTCAGCCGGCTTAAGCGTCTGTCCCGCCTACTAAAAGCTGAAAGGGGGTAATTAACTGTCGTGCGCGCTCGGCTGACTGCAATTTAGCGTGAACCCCCAGGGAGTTAGGTCGATCCAAATCTAAATCTCTGGATCGATCTAAATCTCTGGGAATGCACCCTTAGACTGGGTTCCCATATATAGATCGATCCATCTGGATCGTTTTAACTCCCTGTGGAGTCTCTCTTAATTGCTTTCAACTAGACCGGCTTAAATGTCCGTCACGCCTACCGAATCAGCTAGGGGGGTAAAGATAATTACCCCCTAACAACTTTACTGGGCGTGACAGACATTTAAACCGGTTAAGTTGATAGCCATTTAGTGAGACTCCCAGGGAGAAAGATCGATCCAAATATCAGTGGGAACGGTCCCTTAATCAGATTGCATTCAGCGAAATGCGCTGTTGAGTTAGTTCGAACTACCTTGCACGATAGTTTCAGGGTGAACGCACCCTTAAGGGTCCCCCCCCCCCAATGAAACTATCGGTCTTTGTAAATCGATCCAACTTCTCGGAATTTCTCGTTGAATACAGTCAGTTCATTAACATGTCTCCTTCTGGCGCTGAGTAGAATACAGAAAAACTGGTGAATATCGTATACATTTGAAACAAGAGGAGAGATGCCAATCTGTTGAACTGATTGAATTCAGCGAGTCCCCTCAGAGTTGGATCGAACTACGGAGAGTGATAGTTACGATAGGCACGTGCCCTTACATTGCATATTGGCGGACAGGTGAGAGAATTGTAAGGTGGGTTTGTAGGTAACAGTAGGTGCAAGTAGGTTGTTAGTTTGGCTTCAGTTATAATTAGTCGGTCAGCTGGTTATCTTTATTTTTGAAGAATTGTCAGCAAAACAATGCACTGCTTATCATAATGTGAACTTACCTGTATCATATTATGGCATACTGGCTGTAATATACTGGTTGTTCGGCATATCCCAGGAAGAAGATTTCTACCAGTTCTGCCTTGGAATGCGCGCTGCTTTGGGCAAAACTGAACATGGATCTGACTTCGAGCGAAACAGCACAGCTGTTGACATAAAAAAGAACCATTAACGTCGTGTTATAAGTATAATAGAATAAAATTGAATGTAGTCTGCAAGGATCTGCCGTTATGGTATTACATTATGACGATCAACTGGGCGATTTAAGAAGAGAGAAGTTGCACTTGATCAATATATATATATATATATATATATATATATATATATATATATATATATATATATATATATATATAAATGCAGTGCGTAATTCTAGCTTACTGTAGCGTGCTTTCTGTCAGGACCATTTAATGCCTACATACGTTTTTACTGGATAATTTCACGGGGATTTCTTGGATAATTCAGTGCACATGGCGCAGCGCCGTGTAAGTATTCTAGGTCATAATAGCAACATGTGCAATATCTCGATATTTGGCCAGACAAACCAATATATTATGTTATACTTAGCCTATATATTTTTGTAATACTACGTATATATTATGGTATATATGGCCACAATAATATGTCTGTTCCTTTGGTATGTGTAGACCTATAGGCTGGTGATGGGGGGGGGGGGGGGGGAAGGGTGTTCTGCGCATGTGCCAGGGAAATTAAAGGTGTACTTTTAGGATTTTCATGCCAAGTGGCAAATAAATAAATTAATAAATAATAATAATAATAATAATAATAATAATAATAATAATAATAATAATAATGAAATTTAAAAGTTAGACGGCCCGTTTTTCGTGTATTAGAAGCTTTGTAGGATACGAAGACGTAATATATATGACATGTAGGCATTTTCTAACTATAACTGTATACCTTTAATGTGAAAATTTAGGACATTATTTTACACAGACAAGAAGTACATTTGATTAAATTCATGGTCGTAAATGATCAGTAAATATTGAAAGCTTTCTTGATTTTCTTGTGTTGCTTCTAGTCATGGTAGCATATATAAAGTCCGTTCGTCAATATTTACTTGAATTCGTAATCCGTGCCAGATGTTACACATATAATGGAATTTTTCTGAATAATTGACAAGTTTGGATGAGAAAATGACACAATCATATTTAAACAGTGCATTTGTCTTCGGTATATACAGATACAAAAACAGTTTCAAGAGTTCTGTGCATATATATATATATATATTCCCCGCTCTAGGTTATACTGCCCTAAATACGTATTGGCTTGGTGGGGAAAAGGGATGCCATTTTTTAAAACATACAAATTAAGAAAATCGTCTTTTTTCAGAGCCGACCACTTCAGGAATGATGAAACCTCGCACTGCGCTCATTGTTGCACTGGCTGCTGCAGCGCTGATTGGCTCAGCATGGTTCTTAAACAGAGACCGAGTGAAGGAGGAGGAACCAAAGAAGGCGGAGTCAGAGGTAATTATATTATTTAAGAGTGCATTCAGAACAGATTATCCGCGGACTAACTGATCTGACGCTAAATATGGCCGAACCCACAAAAAAGCAAGCTGCCCTTATCCGTCGATGGTTTCCCCGCCTCCACATGCACTATGAAACGGATTAACTCTTGGCTCCGAGATTTAATTGCTAGGCCCATGCTGCGACGGCGCGTGTGGAGGCGAGGAGACCATCAGGGGTTAGCGGCATTGCTTTTAAGTGGATGGGCCGTACTTAGTCCGCGGAGCAAGTTGTTCTGAATATTCCCGAAGGGATAACAACTTCTCTTTTTACCTTAAAAAGTGCTGTAAAACAGATTTTCCTGGGGTAGACGATGATTTTCCCATACTTACCGACGATTATTAGTACCACCAGCGTGTACGCTGGCGGTACTCATGGTTTTAGTCCCGATCCGTATCGTACGGCTCCGCCGGCTCCGCCGGCTCCGTGAGCTCCGCCGGCTCCGCAGGGTGGCGTGGGATACAAGTCACCGTTACCGCTTCTCCTCCTAGACTGCATGGGCTTGTGTCCCCATCTCTTGGATTTAGGTCACATATAATCTCAACTTGAACCCCCTGGTTTTTTTGTCTCGATCGGTGCAATTGCCTGGGCATGACGCTCGTTGAAATGCACCCTAGTCAGAATTTTTGAAAATTCAATGCTTTATATCTCCCAAACTGAAGGAATTATGGGAAAAATTAATATAGAAGACTGACCGAAAGTCACATATGAGGATTCCAAATATGCCCTTGGATTTGACCTTTGACCTTAATTTCAAGGTCAAACAGGCCAAAATTTTC